GACATCCCATGAAAAAAGTAAAGTTAAGAAATGCCCAGCTGCAGTTGCTCGACCCAATTATCTTGCACATAGTCACTCAGACATACGCTTGACATCTTAGGCATTTGCACGCTCTCTGTCAGCGCCGGCCCGAGTGGCATGGAAAAGCCGCAAGAAGGTGGGCAAGTCTTTTACGACCCACGACAGGTGTGGATACCTGTACCTATGCCCGGAGCGCCCTCAGGAGTGAACAGTGTGGACCAGCATTGAGTATATTGGATGAAAGAGGACACGCGAACCCATGCGCGGAGGAAAGGTTATGTGGGGTTTGAATGTGATGAAGTCGTGGCTGTCGACTCAGATGCGCTAGCATGTGGAGAAGCAGAGTATAATGGACCAGTACAAGGTCAATCAGTAGCGTTCGGATTACAAGCGTTCTGAGATAGAAACCAAGCAAATCAAGTATGCTTGCAGTATAGCGTTGAAGAGTTCTTGGGGGCCGGCGAGGGTTTAGGAACAGTCAGACACATCGAGGTGTTTTGTTGTGACAGGACAAGGCAGGACGATGACACATCACATTGATCAAAGGAGGTCCACACGAATCTCTTGCAGACGTTTCAACCAAGTACGTCAGAAAGGGAAGATATGCCCATGCATGTGCGATGTACCAACTTACGCGTTGTTAGCGGACGGCATGAGCTGGCGCGCACTACAGCGTGCTATATTAACCCAGATTCGGGTGATCATCGCGTACCGCGATGGCAGAGAGTTCAACCCATGGTCAGCTGAGATCCGCGTGCTCTCCTGCGCACACATTTGTATCGGTCAACCGTTCTGCATGACGGCGTGCTTTGCGTCGCGCGTCAGGCAGCCCCTGCACGGTCACGCGCAAGTCATCGCCGTTGTCTCCTTGTACCATTTATGCTTTCGTATCATACCATTACGGCTAGCATGGAACCGCTGTTTGTTCCCACGATGTTAGGGTCGCCGCTGGGCGTTGTAAAGCTCCTGTCATCAGAGCCGTAAGTATCCGTCATCCTGCCGATGTGTGTTGTTGATCGTTAGCTTTTTCCACATGTTGCTTATCAGCCGACCATGGGGGGCTAGATTTAGAGCGCTTCGACTGGGTGGGCAGGCGCGCCAGGCAGCGCAAGGCATGAAACAACGTGCGAGAATTTGCACCGCAACTGTTTGGCTTAGCTGTTGTTTTCGCACGGGGAACAAACACAATTAACATATCTTACAGGAGGAAGAGGAGGAGGAGAAGGACAAGGAGGAGGAGGAGGGAGTGGAGGACGAGGAAGAGGAGGATAAGGAGGAGGAAGAGGAGGAGGAGGGGGAGGAGGAGGAAGAGGAGGAGGAGGAGGAGGAGGGGGAGGAGGAAAATTGGGAGGAGGAGGAGGAGGAGGAGGAGAAGGAGGAGGAAGAGGAGGTGGAGTTGGATGAGGAGGAAACGGAGGAGGACACGGAGGAGATGGTTCCAGAGCCTTTGCGGGGGTTGCTTGAGAGTCCGCTGGCGGGAGGAGGGACAGTACTGACAACGACGTCCCCCCTGGCGTTTTTCGTTTTTTTTGTGGCCCTCCTGGAAGCTTCTCGTCGCCTCGGCGGGATCCGTCCCGGGAAACAGGTCAGGATTGAAAGGCTTTTGGGCGGACGGGGAGTGCCGCCGTTGTTTAGAATTGCCTTTCGCTGCCTGGGTCCCCTGGGCGGACGGGGGGTGGGAAACGGATGGGGGCTCGAGGAGACGTTACGTAAGGCCCGTTGCCGCTGACGCGCTGTACTCCCCAGAGCCACGTTGGTGTCGCGGGTTGATGCCGGCAACAGGCAGTGGAGGCGGGAAAGCGGCGGGGAGGGAATACAGAAGGGCTGGCCCCGTTCCAGAGCCCCCACTTGCTTCCACTCCTACATTCATCCACCTCTCTTCTTTGGACGTTGGGCGAACTTAGACCGACCAGGATCGAAGCGTCAGGATGGTAACAAAGGCGGCAGAGTAATTACCCGACGCGGAGATCCCCAGATGTGCATCGCATAGTGGTGGCATGCTTCGGTAGAAGGCACTGTCCTTTTCAATATCTGTGTGTCAGCGAATGCATGTGGAAGACGAAGCCGAGAGAGACGCCGACGACTACGACGACTTTAACAAGTCGTTTCCTTCCTCTTCTTCTTCTTCTTCCCTCCTCCTCCTCCTCCTCCTCCTCCTCCTCCTTCTCCTTGTCCTCCTCCTCCTCCTCCTCTTTCTCATCCTCTTCCTCTGAACACCTGTCAGGGCGCCGAAAGCTGCTCCGAAAGCGAAGGATGTTGGGCACCGGAACAGGCAAACCGCTTTAGACATCCCCCAATCTGGGCGCGAACGGGCCCGTGATATACCCCCTGGCGCCCCCCCGTGGGAGTGCTGAAACCAGCGCCTCGCCTGAGACATCCTCGGAAACTGGTCCGACAGAGAAGGATGTTGGGCACCGAGACAGGCAAACCGCCTGAGACATCCCCCCAATCTGGGCGCGAACGGGCCCGTGATATACTACCTGGCGCCCCCCCCCTTGGGAGTGCTGAAACCAGCGTCTCGTCTGAGACATCCTCTGAAACTGCTCCGAAAGAGAAGGATGGTGGGCACCGAAACAGGCAAACCGCCTGAGACTTCCCCCCAATCTGGGCGCGGACGGGCCCGTGATATACCCCCCTGGCACCCAACGCCTCGCCTGAGACATATTCGGAAACTGCTCCGAAAGAGAAGGATACTCGGAAACTGCTCCGAAGCGTGCAAACCGCCTGAGACACCCCCCCAATCTGGGCGCGAACGGGCCCGCGATATGCCCCATGGCCCCCCCCCTGGGGAGAGCTGAAACCAGCGTCTAGCCTGAGACATCCTCTGGAACTGCTCCGACAGAGAAGGATGTTGGGCAACGAGACAGGCAAACCGCCTGGGACATCCCCCCAATCTGTGCGCGAACGGGCCTGTGATATACCCCCTGGCGCCCCCCTCTGGGAGTGCTGAAACCAGCGAATCGCCGGAGACATCCTCAGAACGTGTGTGTGTGTATGTGTGTGTGTGTGAGTCTGAGCGCCGAAGTACCAGGAGTGTGAGTGAGTCTGCATCTGAGTGATCCCGAGCATGAGAAGCCTGAGTGTCAGGAAGAGCAAGTGCATTTGAGTATGAGCGCGTCTGAATATGAGTGAGTCTACATGTGAGTGAGTCAGAGAATGATGACCTGCGGGTAGGAAGTGTGTGTTCTCTCTTTGTCTCTGCGTGGTCAAAGTAATAACTACTCGACGCGGAGATCCCCCTATGTGCATCTCACAGTGATGGCATGCTTCGGTAGAAGGCAGTGTCCTTTTTCAATATCTGAGTGTCAGCGGATGCATGTGGAAGGCGAAGCCGAGAGAGACGCCGACGACTACGACGACTTTAACTAGTTGCTTCCTCTGTCTTTCCTCCTCTTCCTCCTCCTTCTCCTTGTCCTCCTCCTCCTCCTCCTCTTTCTCATCCTCTTCCTCTGAACACCTGTCAGGGCGCCGAAAGCTGCTCCGAAAGCGAAGGATGTTGGGCACCGGAACAGGCAAACCGCTTTAGACATCCCCCAATCTGGGCGCGAACGGGCCCGTGATATACCCCCTGGCGCCCCCCCGTGGGAGTGCTGAAACCAGCGCCTCGCCTGAGACATCCTCGGAAACTGGTCCGACAGAGAAGGATGTTGGGCACCGAGACAGGCAAACCGCCTGAGACATCCCCCCAACATGGGTGCAAACGGGCCCGTGATATGCCCCCCTTTGGAGTGCTGAAACCAGCGCCTCGCCTGAGACATCATCAGAAACTGCTCCGACAGAGAAGGATGTTGGGCACCGAAACAGGCAAACCGCCTGAGACATGCCCCAAAACTGGGCGCGAACGGGCCCGTGATATGCCCCCTGGCGCCCCTCCGTGGGAGTGCTGAAACCAGCGCCTCGCCTGAGACATGCTCGGAAACTGCTCCGAAAGAGAAGGATGTTGGGCACCGAAGCGTGCAAACCGCTTGAGACATCTCCCCAGTCTGGCGCGAACGGGCCCGTGGTACGCCCCCTTGCGCCCCACCTTGGGAGTGCTGAAACCAGCGTCTCGTCTGAGACATCCTCGGAAACTGCTCCGACAGAGAAGGATGTTGGGCACCGAAACAGGCAAACCGCCTGGGACATCCCCCAATCTGAGAGCGAACGGGCCCGTGGTATACCCCCTGGCGCCCCCTCTTTGGGAGTGCTGAAACCAGCGCCTCGCCGGAGACATCCTCAACAACTGCTCCGACAGAGAAGGATGTTGGGCACCGAAACAGGCAAACCGCCTGAGACATCCCCCAAAACTGGGCGCGAGCCGTCCCGTGATATACCCCCCTGGCGCCCCCCCTTGGGAGTGCTGAAACCAGCGAATCGCCGGAGACATCCTCACAACGTGTGTGTGAGTCTGAGCGCGGACGTACCAGCAGTGTGAGTGAGTCTGCATATGAGTGATCCTGAGCATGGGAAATCTGAGTATCAGGAATATAAGGGCAAGTGCATGTGAGTATGAGTGTCTGATTATGAGTGAGTCTACGTGTGAGTGATTCAGAGAATGATGACCTGAGGGTGGGAGGTGTGCGTGTAAGGTGTTCCGCGCGATCTAAGTAATAACAATATCCCCGTCCTGAGGATATGGGGAACAAGAACCCAACCCTTAGTTATCGGATATTGGGAATGATGACCTGAGGGTGGGAGATGTTCTCGTTCCGCGCCCCTCAGTAATAACAAGAACCCCATCCTTAGGATATGGGGAATGAAGAACCCCAGCCTTAGGATATGGGTAAACAAACTGACGATGTTGCTGCAGTGGCAGATTAATTAGACATACGTGCGCGCTATTGGACACCACAGTGTAAACTAGCTGGGTCCGTAGCCATTTGGGCTCACGTTTGGTGGCTCAAGGCTAGAAGCCACGGGATTTGTCAAACAGTGCTGTCATACACACGTACTTTACGTATTGCCCAGAGGCTATCCACAGAGACGCGGTGTTCACGCCTATGCCCAAGGCAATTGCGATTGTCTTCCTCCATTCGCTAGCAGTCGCGGCGACCGGCGATGCGGAGCCTGCGGCGGACAACATCCTCATGCAGATCATTGTTGGAAGTCCGTGGCGACGTCCACAGGCTGATTGCGCAGGGGTTCGCACAATCTTCGACGCTGGCTTTGGGGGCTGTGACGTGTACACTTCGAGCCGCAACAACCACCAATTCTGCCACAGAGACTTCGACGAGGGCCAAGGCTTCTACGCCGCGCAGGTGTGCTCCGAGTGCCTCGTTTGCCGGGCGCTGACCCAGGATGGCGAGAAGGCGGCCGAAGTGTCGGCGGTCGAGCAGGCGGTGAAGCTGAAGCGCGACGCCGAGCTGGAGAAGGCCGAGGCGAAGGAGAACAAGGCGGAGGCCGAGCACGAGGCCACGGAAAAGGCCTGGCAAGAGAAGACGGAAAAGAAGGAACGCAAAGCGGAGGAGGAGGAGGAGGAGGAGGAGGAGGAGGAGGAGGAGGAGGAGGAGAAGAACAAGGCTCTCCAGCAGGCCACGGAGGCAGAGAACAGGGCCCAGGAGGCCAAGCGCAGGGCCGAGGAGGGCAAGCGCGAGGCGGAGGCCGCGGCCGTGCGCCGGGCGCAGGCTGATGCCGCTAAGCGGCAGGCGGAGGAGGCCGAGCGCAAGGCCGGGGCCGAGCAGCGCAAGGTCGAGGCCGAGCGGAAGGCGGAGGCCGAGCGCAAGGCCGAGGCCGAGCGCAAGGCCGAGGCCGAGCGCAAGGTTGAGGACGAGCGTAAGGCGGAGGCCGATCGCAAGGCGGAGGCCAATGCCAAGCGCAAGGCGGAGGCCGAGCGCAAGGCGCAGGCCAAGGCAGCGGCCGAGACCGCGGAGCAGGCCGAGCGCAAGGCTGAGGCTGAGCGCGTGGCAGAGGCGGAGCGCGCAGCAGAGGCCGAGCGTAAGGCGGAGGCCGAGCGCAAGGCGGAGGCCGATGCCAAGCGCAAGGCGGAGGCCGATCGCAAGGCGGAGGCCGAGCGCGCAGCAGAGGCCGAGCGTAAGGCGGACGCCGAGCGCAAGGCGGAGGCCAATGCCAAGCGCAAGGCGGAGGCCGAGGGGAAGGCCGAGGCCGAGCGGAAGGTAGAGGCCGAGCGGCAGGCGGAGGCCAAGGCCAGGCGCAAGGTGGAGGACATGCGCAAGGCGGAGGCCGAGGGCGTGGCCAAGAGGAAAGCCGAACAGAGGGCGGAGGCCGAGGCCAAGCGAAAGGTGGATGACATGCGCAAGGCGGAGGCCGAGGGGGCGGCCAAGGCGAAAGACGAACAGAGGGCGGAGGCCGAACGCAAGTCGGAGGCCAAGGCAGTGGCCGTGGCTGCGCGCGTGGCGGAGGCCGTGCGCAAGGCAGAAGCCGAGCGCAAGGCGCAGGCTAAGCGCGCAGAGGACGAGCGTAAGGCGGACGCCGAGCGCAAGGCGGAGGCCAATGCCAAGCGCAAGGCGGAGGCCGAGGGGAAGGCCGAGGCCGAGCGGAAGGTAGAGGCCGAGCGGCAGGTGGAGGACATGCGCAAGGCGGAGGCCGAGGCCAAGCGAAAGGTGGATGACATGCGCAAGGCGGAAGCCGAGGGAGCGGCCAAGGAGAAAGACGAAAAGAGGGCGGAGGCCGAGCGCAAGGCGGAGGCCAAGGCAGTGGCCGTGGCCGCGCGCGTGGCAGAGGCCGTGCGCAAGGCAGAAGCCAGGCGCAAGGCGCAGGCTAAGCGCGAAGAGGAGGAGCATTGGGCCACGAAGGAGGAGCCAGCACGCGAGGCGAAGCTGCAAGCGGAGGCTGCGGCGGAGGAGGCCAAGAAGGATGCTGAGTGGGCGGCTGCCGAGGAGGCCAAGTACGTGGCATCGGAGACGCAGGCTGCGGAGGAGTCCGAACGCGCCGCACGCCAGCAGGCCCAGAAGGCCCAGAGGGCGGCGTCGGCGGCCAAGAAGCGGGCGGAGCCGGAGGAGGCTCAGCGCAAGGTCGAGGCCGAGAAGGCTGCGCAGGCGGCGCCGCAGGCGGCGGCGAAGGAGGATGCTGCAGCGAAAGCGCCGAAGGCGGCGAAGGAAGAGCGCCCCAGATTCGAGCCGCCCACGCTGCCAGCTGCTCGGCACTGGTGGGACGAGCAGGACACCGCGCAGAAGGAGGTTGCAAAGCCGAAGTCTGCTCGGAAGGAGTCTGCCGCACAAGCCGTCGGCGACCCCCACTTGGTGAACATGCACGGACAGCGCTTCGACATTCTGAGGGAGGGCAATCACACGCTGATCCAGATTCCCAGGCATACGGGACCCAGAGCGACCCTGCTGAAGGTGAACGGCGAGGCATTGTACATGGGCGGCGCTTGCGCGGACATGTACTTCCATTCCATCTCCGTAAAGGGCAAGTGGGCAGAAGACTTAGCGTACACGCTGAGCACAGGGCAAAGTCGCAGCGATGGCTTCGACTTCTTTGCAGACGCAGTTCACAAGAGCAATAGCACGGATTGGATGCGCTTCGGCAACAAGCTGGATCTGAAGATTATCTGGGGCAGGACAATCACTGGCGTCCGCTACCTCAACATCTTCGTCAAGCATCTGGCCGCTGTGCAGGCCTCCGTCGGCGGTCTCCTCGGCGAGGACGACCACTCGACCGTCGCGACTGCACCGGCGGACTGCAAGCGAACGATCTCCCTCTTGTCTATCAGGAGCCACATGGGCGCGGGCGTGTCGCAGGGCGACGGCACTTTCGACGAGCTGGCGCAGGTGACGCACGATTTCGACTACCAGTGAGCTCTGATTCGCTGGGCGCGCAGATCACCCCTACCTGCGAGCCCGCTTCCGCCCCACGGCCGGGCGCCCTGTGTGCGTCTACCCCTATTTAAACATTCTGGTCTACCACATTTTGGAAATACATTTTGGACATCTGGAGCGAGGCCGACGCGATCCTGTGCGGCGCGTCGGCCGTCAGAGACAGAGTCACTTCAGTTGCTGCTCCGCTCGCAAGCTGCGAATGCGGCTGGCAGGGCCGCGATTGGCTGCCAGGCGGAAGCAAACATGATGCAGCATATGCAGATAAAAACGAAGACACTCATATCCATCCTCGTCCTCCTCCTCCTCCTCCTGCTCCTCCTCCTTAGGCATCGCAACCCTTGTCGTGAGGCACAATGGTCCAGGGTGAGTCACAGTGCAAGCGAGTAGCTCTTTCTCCTCAGACACACGCCAGGGCTTCGAGGGATCCTTTGGGGGTGGCTTGTGTAGCATGTTTCAATGTTGCAGGGGCCGCTACAGTCCTTATGAGGTGTTCGTTGTGGCTCTCCAGGTTGCTAGGGCTCTACGCAGTCCTCATGAGGGGGTTGTGCGTGGCCCCCCTGAGGCGTTCAGAGTTTTCTGGAGAAATTTGTGGCGCACGGGATTTCAATGGCCATTGTCAGATTGATTTTCCGCGGCCGCTTAGGTTCAAGCCAATGCCGATGCACCAACTAAGCCCTGGAAGCGAGATATACATGTACACATGTGTGTAGAGAGAGAGGGAGAAAGAGAGAGAGAGAGTTATATGAGAGAGAGATAGAGATAGAGAGAGGGAGAGAGAGAGAGAGGGAGAGAGAGAGAGTCCGTAGCCATTTTGGCTCATGCCTGCTTGGGCGCCAGGCGGGCGGCAGCGTTGGGTCTCTGCCGCGGTGCGATGGCTCCCCAGGGGATTGCTGCGGGCGGGAGCAGGGCGGCCGATGCGGCGGCGGAGCTCCCGGAGGCTACAGCGGCTGCGCCGTCGCCGTGGCCGACGCGGCGTGCCAGGCAGGGCGCTGCCCATAGGGCGGCGGCTGGGCGCCTGGCGGCGGCGTTGCGGCGCGTGCTCGACCTCGAGGCGCTCGTGGAGGGTTTGCAAGCCGACCTGCGCCACGCGCTGGCGGCGGGCGAGGCCGCGGCCCTGGCTGCCTCCTGCGCCGCATCTGCCCCTGCGAGCGGCGGGGCCGCGGCCGATGGCGTGGGGACCGCAGGCGGGGCTCCCGAGCCGAAAGCCGTGGCGGCTGAGCTCGTGCAGCGCCTGGCGCTCGTTGCGCCCGTGCTGGAGGCGGACATCGCAGGCACGGACGTGATCGCCATGGAGGTAGGCAGGCACAATGTGGTCTCCCTCCACCACGCGCTCCCCGCCGCGGACGTGCGGGCGATGTCGCAACGGGAGCTCAATCGAGTTCAGCGTGACGCGAGGCGCGCACCCAGGCGGGGGGGGTGCAGCAGGGCTGCGGTGCAAGTGCGGAGGCCCAGACCGCCGTGGAGGTGGCCTTCGCTGCATCGGCGGCTGCCAGCGGCGAGGCGCGGCCGCGCTGCGCGCAGCGCACCGCCTCCCTCTGCAGGCGCCGCGTGCCGCGACGCCTCTGCACCGCCGCCCTGGCAGGGTGCCCGCGGCGCCGCGCGGGCAGGCGAGCCCCTCCCCGGCGCTGTCGCCGCCACCGGTGATGAGCGGGGCGCGCTGGTGGGCGTGGGAGGCCGAGACGCTCGGCAGATGCGACACCAACCTGGGGTCCGATGCCGTCCCTGCTGGTCCGCATGGCGGTGCTGTGCAGGACGTAGGGGAGTGTGGACACCTTGCTCCTGGAGCTGCTGGGCGGGAGCCTGGCGGCTTGAGAGTGGAGAGCGGCATCGGCGACGAGGAAGACCTGCCCTTCTTCGATCCTGAGGGCGGCGTATCGGGAGGCGTCTGCGACGACTTCGAAGATGCGCTGGAGTGCGAGGGGGGAAGTCTTGGCGGTCGTCATGCTGCTGCAGATGCGCTGGAGGCTGAGGCGGAAGATCACAACGATCTTCACGGTGCCCTTCGGCGGGGGGCATGTTGGGGCTCGTGCTCGCCGTGTCGACGAGGGCCGAGCTCGAGATGGTCATCGTGCCGTCGGCGTGGTCTGCGCTGCCGATTCGGTCGGCTTGGGTAGCAGGGGTGGCACGGTCAAGGAGCTGCAGACCGACACCGTGCCCGACGCGGAGTGCTTGGTGCAGTCCGCCGCCCTGCTGGGGGACGACGCGCCTGCTGGGGGGCAGCCCGTCATCTCGCCTGCCCGCCGTCTCATGGTCCTCCGTGGGCACGTGGAGGCGGCCACGCGCGTGGACGTGAGCAGGAGGCTGGCTGCCGCCAGGTGCACCCAGTGGCACTGGCGGGACTGGCGCGCCTCTGGGGCCTGCCTGAGGTAAACGCTGGCCTGCACTGCTCAGCTCAAGGCGGAGCTGCAGCAGTCTCGCGTTGAGTGACGCCCTGGTCTGTTGGCGAAGCTGAAGAAGACCAAGCGCGGCAGGCAGTGTGAGTGGGAGTGCGCTTAGGTGCCTGGCCACTTTCGAGCAGCACTCTGAGAGCGCCGTCGGCCCTGCTGGATGCGGCTCGGGTTGCTCCGCCGTTTCGGGGCCGTCCTGGGGGCACTCGGGCAACCCCTCTGGGGTTCCCTGAGTGCGTTTGGGGGTCTCTGGTCTGGGCTCCTGGGTGTGGTTTCTGCGACCCGTGCGGGTCTCGGATGGCGCTCGCTCCTGTCGGTGCCCTGTCTTGGGTCCTCGTCGCAACTTGGGCTCGAACGGCACTGTCGGTTATTCGTCCACAGGATAAGTGCCTGGCGACTTGGCTTGCGAGCAGTTCGTCTCGATGCGCGGGCTGGTGGCGAGAGGCTGCCGTGCCCCCGCTGGGAACACGCTGTACGCGCGCGGCCAGGCCTCGACCTGCCCGCCCGCGTGCAATCCTGTGGCGCGGGCTGGCGGCGTGAGGCTGCCGCGCCCCCGCGGACTGAACGCTGCGCCCCAGCGGCGGGGCCTCGTCCCTCTCGTTCTGGCGCCGAGGGTGGTGCGAGAGAAAGAGAGAGAGAGAGAGAGAGAGAGAGAGAGAGAGAGAGAGCAAGAGACAGAGAGAGATGGAGAGGGAGGGGTGTGTGTATATATATATATATAGAGAGAGAAAGAGAGAGAGAGAGAGAGAGAAAGAGAGAGAGAGAGAGAAAGAGTTGTGCGTGGGTGGGCTGTTTTCCGAGTGGAGCTGCCCTGGGGCGCCCGTGTTTTTTCTTCCGTCGTCCACCGAATGATGAGGCCAAAGGGGAGGAGGTGAGGAGGCCTGCCCGGCTGTTCGCTCCACTAATCCATTCCTACCGAAAGAGGCCTACGGTAGGTTCCCTTGAGTAGGGTACCCAGGGTAACTGTCTGGTTCTTCCCAGTGCGACGAAACCGCGGACAACCATGCCTTCCCCCTCCCATTTCTCCGTCACAATTACACAAAATGAAAACCACCCTCCTTCTCCCCCTGATGACGTCTGGGAATATCCGACCTCCCTCCGCGTATTGTTTTTTACACCGGATTCCTGGGAAAAGGCTTTTCGGTTGGGTTTGTGATTCAAGATGTTGCTCCAGCTGCAGCGCTGGCATCATTTTCGGGCTTCCGCTCGTTCCGCGAATCGTGCTCCCGCTGCAGCGTTGGGTTCATTTCCGCGCTTCCGCTCGTTCCGAATCTTGTTCCCGCTGCAGCGCTGGCCTCATTTCCGCGTTTCCGCTCGTTCCGAATCGTGCTCCCGCTGCAGCGCTAGCGTCATGATTTCCAGTGCCATGCCACGGCATGGGATTCGGTCATTGTAAATAGGCCCCAATATCTAGACAGTGCCCCCCGAGGAAAAAATCAAAACAAATCCATCGGAAGTGATTCCACATTCGGTGTCGAGCGGAACCTAATTTATGTTTAACGCATTCCTACTTCATGTTTCTACCTACATCTTCCGGCCGATCGGTACCCCTTCAGAGCGTGGGCGGGTGAGAAGCGGGAGGAAAACAGCTTTACCCCTCTGGGCGCAACCCCCAGGGCGTGTCCCTCCGGGCGTGGCTGGCGGTTGCGCAGTAGAGGGGAGAGGAGAACAGCTGCACCCCTTTGGGCGTGCCCCTCAGGTGGCGGCGGTGCGGGGGAATGAAGAGGGGATGGGTGCAGCCGCACTCCCCTGGGCGTGCCCCTCAGGGTTTGCCTCTCGGGTGTGGCTTGCGGACAATGCCCAAGATGAATGTTGGCTGTGGTCCGCCGTGGTCCTCGGGGAGTCAGGACGACGTGAGTTCACAAGGGCTCCCCCTCCTCACATGAAGGGCGATAACACGATATGGCAGCTCGATCGCAAAACGACCACCTCCTCTTGCATCTACCTCAGCCTTCCCCAACCCATCCTCCGCCAACTATCGCGCCCACCTTCTCTCCATCCTCCTCCGTGTCTTCCTCCCCTTCCTCATACATCAGGCCAGCCGATCGAGACCCAACCCGCGAGTACCTCATGAGGCACCTCTTGGACGCCCCCCTCTTGGACCCCCCCTCCTCTTGGACACCCCCCTCTTGGACACCCGCCTCTTGGACACCCCCCTCTTGGACACCCCCCCCTCCGCCATGATTTGCACCCCCCCTCTTGGACACCCCCCTCTTGGACGCCCCCGAACCTGTTTGCTTTTGCCAAGTACGCGGTGAGCATAGTCAAAGTTCCGGGTCTAGGCCCGCTTCGGATTCGCCAGACGCAGGATGGTCTCTCAGTCCTTACATGATGTGGCTTTCCTGGCGTTCATCGTGCAGCTGGGCGAAAGTGAAGCCCCCCAAAAGGGGGGTCCTTCCTGGTTTGAGGTTGCTTCTGACAAAGAAGCTGTGGCTGCGACATGAGGCCTCGTCTTCTCCTGAGACAGCTGTTCGTCGGGGCGCCGATGGCTCGCATTCCTGTTCCTACTCGGGGCCTGCTCCTGAACAGTTCCACGATATGAATACGTCTCTCCCCTCTCTCCCGAAGACGCCAGTGAGGTGTCCTGGCCTCCCCCGCCTATCGTTTTTTTTGTTACCGAGGACGCCGCCGAGTCGACAAGTCATAATTGTTTGTTCCCAACCATCCTGTGGTTCTGGGTCATCGTTTTGAAGAGACAGCGCCCCTTCCCACCTCCTCTCCTCTCCTCTCCTCCCCATCCTCTTCCTCCTCCCCGTCCCTCCTCCCGTCACCCGCTTCATTTTAGCACACACCCCACACGTTTCGTGGCCCTACAGGGAGCTCCACCAAAGGCCCAAGTGCCAGCGCTCGCATGCGCCCACCGCAGTACGCACCCTCACACGTTGCGTGGCCCTAGGGAGCCCCACCGAAGGCCCAAATGCCAGCGCTCGCATGCGCCCACCGCGCCTATTCTGGCATACCCCTCGCACGCGTCGTGGCCCCATCGGGAGCTCGACCGAAGGCCCAAATGCCAGCGCTCGCATGCGCCCACCGCTCCCCTATACTTGATTGTGCACGACATTCTGCGATTTGAGTACATCGCGGAAAGGCGTGCTCAATCGAGTATAGTCCTTTCGTCTTCTCCTTCGTTGCTCTCTCCTCCCCATCCCCCGCTCTCTTCTTCCACTTGGCTATGTGGCACTGCTTGCACGCGGGCCGAGGCCGCTTCCCCGCCCAGCACTGCTCGTGGGCACTGTTGTGAGTCAGGCCATCCAGCCCGTCCGCAGTATTGGAGAGCAGCATGCACGGTCCGGGGATTGGTCTGCATGTTTTGTCGTCGGGCTCCACACTCCGCTCTCTCGCATGCATTGCGGCTCGCAGGTGAGCGCCCCCGCCCCCCCTCGGTGTTCTTCCCTGCGCTTTGGCGCGAGGCGGGGCCAGGTCGAGCGGCTGATTAATCAATCGCGCGGAAAGCTCACCGTGAGCATGCACTCCCCAACGCTTGTCCACGCATTTGCCTGGTTTATCCAGCTCATTACCATAGGTTGCCATGGTGGCTCAATCTGCATGTGCAGGGTAACCAGTTGGTGGAACAAAACGACTATGCATCGTATTTCCATGCTGCTTCTCGCCGCATCCCCACATTCGCATGGTGCTTCAAACCGTGGGTGCGTTCCCACTCCTGGACAAGCCCATGCTTTTTGAACATTCACTTCAGCGACATGCACTATACTTGGCGCACCTTTGCGGCGATCCCTTTTTACTCCTGGCAAGTCGTTGTCCATTGGATTTGCCAAAGTGTGCCAGGCATACTTCGTGCGTGCGCCGCTTAGCCGTCATGAGTGACGTGGCTCAGCACCGTGGTTTTGGCGACATCTTTCTTGTTCATGACGCTGACGTTGGATTTGTCGAAGGCCAGCCACGTAGACGGACACACTCCCATTACCGGCGTCAGGTCCGGCTACCAACACTGTTTGGTGTTGGTGGCATCTCAACATGCAAGTTTTGAGGGAGCCAGACAACGAGGTGAAGTCAGAGTGTGGGTGCCGAACTGTCTTACACAGTCGCTGTGTGCGTGGCTGTAGTGGGCTTCCACGGTGCCGATATGTGTTGTGTTGTCTTGCTCCTTCCCACGACCTACGCGCAATCCACCCACGACCCACGCCTGCGACCCACGCGACTGTAGGATCCAGCGTCCTGCACCCGCCTGCTTTTCACATCAGCATCCGTCCGCCATATGGCTCACGGCGCCACTCCAGTCAAACAGCGTATTTGTCCTTTTTCTGCTTCCTGCTCAACTTCCTCGTGCTTCCATGCCGTCTGGTCCCTCTCCTCCTCCTCCTCCTCCTCCTCCTCCTCCTCTTCCTCCTCCTCCTCCCACTTTTTCTCCTCCTCCTACTCCTCCTCCTCGTCTCCCTGCTGCTGCTGCTGCCACATTGTTCTCGGTCCTATCACTGTGAAGGCCTGACGGCCAGCGCCGCCGACCCTGAAGGCGGGAACTCCCGCGGGACCCCCCGTTGGCGACACCCCCAGTGACCCGCCGGGACCCTTGGAAGGGCAGCAGCCTGACCCGGGACCGCCCCACCACAGCAAAGACGGCAAGCCCGCTGGCGGTACCCTCATGGAGGGGGGGTCCCCTTGCCGCCTTGCATCCGCCCAATCCCCCCTTCACAGGGGGGATTGGGGGGGAGTGGGGAGAGGGAAAGGGGCCTTGAGTTCCTCCTGACTGGGGGGGGGGGTGGACGCGGTTCCATTCAAGAAGAACCGCCTTGGGGTCATGACCACGAGCGTTCCGCCTGGGAGGAAAAACGGTGGAGAAGGCAGGAGAACAATAGCCACACGTAGTAGACATTAGAGAGCGCAGAAGCCGCCTCCCCCGAACACTGGAGGCAGAAACCAGGAATGCATTACCGGTTCTACACAGAGCCACCGCAGCAGGGACGTGTCTTGCCGACTCGGGGCTCGCATTGTAATTGGGCGCCATGTCTTCCCTCGCCGCCACGGCCCCTGGCCCCGCGCCCTCCCCGTGCCGGTCTTCTTCGAGCTGTGTGTTGCTCACCGTTGGTGTGCGAGACGCAAGAGGCCAAAGCCAGTAGAGGATGGGAGCGTTTGCAGTATAAGGGGCAGCAGAGGGTTGAGCAAGGACAGATTTCCGACCTGCCCCCTTATCATCAAGGAAGTTCTGGATGTGTCTGGTGTGTGTGTGTGTGTGCTGCGTCGGTCCAGAACATAAAAAGTCGAGCCGCTGCAACAAAAAACACTCTGGTCGCGGGAGGGGCTCTGGTGCTCGGGCCGTTCGTTGGATCCTGGTCGGGGGGACCTATTTGTTCGTGGCCGAGGCTCGCCGTGGCCAGACTTGTCCCGTTCGTTCTCATTCGGCGTTCCTGGTTGTAGCACGGTGACTGTACACGTGCACAGAGGATGCTTCATGTAGTCCTAAAGTGCAAACCAGGATGTGAACAAACGTTTCTCTCCACGTTCTTAACTCCGCTGGCGATGTGGCAAAATCGTCGAGATTCATGTGTTCAACGCGCGCAAGCACACCAAGGTTCACGGCTGGGGATTGACGCCCCCCATGCCCGAGGCACTCTCTTTCGAATAGTTGGATAGGCACTCGTATGATCCCGCTCTCCTTGCCTCAACGCGACGTTGCCTCGTTTTGGCACATTTCGAACTTCCTTTTTCGTGCGGTAGATCATCGTTGCTTGCCAGCTTGCTTCGACTGGCCGCTCCTCCCTGCATGGGAACAGCTACGGTCCCATACGGAAATGTTCAAGTTTGTCTTGGGTCAGGGTGCCTTCGCCAGCTTCTGGGCGATTGCCCGCACATGCACGTAGTGTTCTTCGAGAGGTTGGGTCAGCGTCGACGTATGTAGCAGTGTGTCATAAGTCGGACCCAGGTTTCTTTAGCGAGTGTGCTCTCAGTCGAAGCTGCGCAGTAGCGATAGCGCACGACACGACGAGAAACTTGCGTAGAGGGAGGGAGGACACGGTGGACGGCCGGAATTGAGCAGGAGGAGGGTTCTGAGTATGAGCATGATTGTTGACTAGGGCAAGAGCCGACGCAGAATATGGTCTTCAGCAAAAGGAGCAGGGGTTTGAGCAGGACGAGGAGGGCAGGACGAGGGGGAGAAGACGGGGCAGGCAGAGAGGGAGGGCAGGGCCAGTTCACACCGAAGCCGAGCCCCTCGGTCGCTGAGCCTCTGGACCGCGGAGCTGCCGACGATCTCTCCTCGGCGCCAGTGACCAGCCGGCCCTGCGCGCCTTGGGGGCACCAGGGCGCCTCGGCCCCCCCGCGCTCGTGGGGCGCATCGGCTGCCCGCGCTTGCCTTGGGGCCTTCGGGCGCCATGGTAAGAAGCGCGGCGGGCATGTCTTAAGTGTATTTGTGTGTGCGTGGTGCGAGCGTCTGTGTGCGTGTGTTTCCAAGGGCTCCCTCGAGGGCGCGAAGTTATTCGCGCTTCGCGCTTCGCGGTCCTCGTTCCTTCTCCCCCTCCTCCTCGTCCTCCTATTCTCCCTTTGGGAGGGCGGCGCGAGAGCGCGAAGTTATTCGCGCTTCGCGCTTCGCGGAGCGCGAAGCGCGAAGTTGGGAGCCCTAGTGTTTCTGCGCCACGTCGCTGCGCGCGAGGCCGCGACCGCTCAGACTGTGTGCGCGTGTTGTGTGTTATGTGTTATGTGTGTGTTTGTTGGTGTGCTTGTCCGTCTGTGTTTGTGCTTCTGGAGCTTCGGGACTCGAACAGTGAGCCGGCCATCCCTGTCAACATGTCTGCGGGGGGGCGACAGGGAAATGGGGCAGGAGGAGGATGAGATGAAGTGGAGGGCGTGGAAGGAGCCCGGTCCGAATGGACGACCTCGTCTTCTCTCGCCGCCACGTTTGTTAGTGTATGCAGTTGTGTTGAGTGGCCCTTTTCCAGGTGTCCATCACCATGTTGCCCATCACCATGTTGAGCTCATCTTATGCATGTGCGTATGCATACATATATACATATATATAGTTATATGTGTGTGTATGTATGTATGTATGTATGTATGCATGCATGCATGCATGCATGTATGTATGTATGTATGTATGTCTGTATGTATGTGTGTATGTATGTATGTATGTATGTATGCATGCATGTATGCATGCATGTATGTATGTATGTATGTATGTATGTATGTATGTATGTATGTATGTATGTATGTATGTATGGATGTATGTATGTATGTATGTATGCATGTATGTATGTATGTATGTATGTATGTATGTATGTATGTATGTATGTATGTATGTATGTATGTATGTATGTTTGTATGTATGTATGTATGTATGTATGTGTGCGGGTGTGTGTATGTATGTACGCGCGTGCGTTCTCTAATTGCCGGGGGCATACACATCTGCGATGCGTGCTCGGAGGAACCCTTCGCGCTGGCCTGCCTTGCGTTGTGTAGTTTTGCTAGCCGTCAGCTCGAGCTCTAACTGCATGTTTGGGCATCGCCCGCCTGGATCCCGCCACGCTCACCCGCTCAAGTCTGTGAGGGAGCAGGCGCTTGCCGCGGTGGTCCCCGAGCCGGCCGCGCATGTACGCCTCTGCGCTGGCGGCTCGCAGGGCCGGCGTGGCGGCCGAGCTGGAGCGCGACCGCGAGCGGGCGGTGGAGTGCTACTTGGAGGTGGGCGCAGCCCCGAGCGGCCCCGCGAGGGAGGGGGAGAGAGAGGGGGCGCGTGGGGTTTGGGGGGAGGGAAGTCAAGAACGAGGGAAGGGAGGGAGGGAGTGGGGGGGGGGGGGGGGCGTGGAGGGGGCGGGCGTGAGGGGGGGGGGGGGTAGGGGCGCGCGTGGGATGGGTACGCGTGGAGGGGCCTGCGCGGTTGGGCGTGGAGGGGGAGCTGGGGAGGACTTCGCCCGCGCACCAAGGGCCACTCTTGCCCAGGGTCGCTCTTGCACGTGGCCCTTGGCCGAATCATTGCGCCTTCTGGGACGGCAATGGACAGGGGCCGCTGGACCTGGCGCGCGCGTGGTGCAAGGGCACAGGAGACGGCGCGACGGACACGGGTTGCGTCGCGCCGTCGGCTGGCAGAGGGCCGCCGCGCTGCGACGCTGCTCCCGACGCTGCTCCCGACGCTGCTCCCGACGACCGTTCCCTCCCAGGGTCGGCGCCCCCGCCCCGGATCGGCCCGCGGTGCCGGCCCCGGCGCTGCGCCCGACGCCGCGCCCGACGACGCTCCCTACGCGGCGGCCGCGGGCCTGGGCGCCACGCGCGTGGCCTCGTCCCCGAGCTCCCCGCTCTTCTCCCGGCTCGGGGGCTGACCACGGCGCGCTCGCGGTCCCCGACGCCCCTGCTGACCGACCACGGACCGCACCCTGGTGGGAGCGCCGGGACTCCACTCGCCCCCCTCTGGCCTGCCCGCGCGGGCCCGGCGGGCCGAGGCCGCCCGCCTTGCCCCCGGGCGCCGCCCCCCCCACAGGACAGCACGCCCTCCGCAGGGCCCACATCTCCGCCGCTCCCCGCGCACGCCCTGGACACTGGCCCCTTCGGCTCGCCCCACGCCCCTGCCGGGGCCACCCGCAGCCCCGACCCCGACGCCCCGTGCTCCCGGCGACGACGCCGGCGCTGCCTCTGGGCACTCCTAGAGGTTTCACGATGCAGTGGCCAGCGCCGCCTCCAGGGCCGCCGCCCTCGACGAAGACTACGACGCCGCAGCCTGCCAGAGCCCAAACCCTCACTCCGACGTCGCCCCCAGCGCCGCTCCTCGGAACCGGCGCTCGACGCCGCATCGGCCCCTCTCCTGAGCGACGTCGGATTCTATTCGAGTGGATGCTCCAGAACCCACCCACCCCGACGCCCACGTCGAGCCCCCTCCGCGGTCGCCGAGCAGGGTTCCCGTCGCCGCGAAGGGAGCCCGCCGGCTGCCCCTCACTCGGCGGAGCGCTGCTCACGGGCGGAGCCGCGCTGGTGCCCCGTCTCGCTTCCCGCTGCCCCCGCCCTGCTGCGCTCGCCGCGCCCGCCTGCCGCTCGGCCCCCCTCCTCCTCCTTCTTTTCCTCCTTCTCCTTCTCCTCCTTTTCCTCCTCCTCCTCCTCCTTTTCCTCCTTCTCCCCCTCCTCCTCCTTCTCTTCCTCCTCGTCCTCCTTCTCCTCCTCCTCCTCCTCCTCCTTCTCCTCCTACTTCTCTTCCTCCTCCTCCTACTCCTCCTCCTCCTCCTCCTCCTCCTCCTCCTCCTCCTCCTCCTCCTCCTCCTCCTCCCCTTCTTCCTCCTCCCTCCCCTCCCTCCCCCTCCCTCCCTCCCTCCCTCCTCCCTCCCTCCCTCCCTCCCCTCCTCCTCCTCCTCCTCCTCCTCCTCCTCCTCCTCCTCCTCCTCCTCCTCCTCCTCCCTCCTCCTCCTCCTCCCTCCTCCTCCTCCTCCCTCCCTCCTCCTCCTCCCCCTTCTTCCCCCCTCCTCCCTCCCTCCTCCCCCTCCCTCCCTCCCTCCCTCCCCTCCTCTCCCCTCCTCCTCCTCCTCCTCCTCCTCCTCCTCCTCCTCTCCTCCTCCTCCTCCTCCTCCTCCTCCTCCTCCTCCTCGTCCTCGTCCTCGACCTCTTCCTCCTGCTCCTCCTGCTCCTCCTCCTCCTCCTCTCCTCCTCCTCCTCCTCTCTCCTTATTCTCCTCCCCTAGCGCCCCTCTTTTTTGCCCCCACTCACCCCTTTCACCGCGCGACCCGTCGCCTTCCCCGGCGGTGCCCGCCCCCCCCCAAGTTTGGTCTGTTTTCCTGGGTGGGTTCTCAGTGGTGAATTCCTCGCTGCCGTTCCCGCGGGCCTCTCGCCCTCGTCGGTCTCCATCCTGCAGTCTGCGCGCTTCGCGGCCCTCATGCTCCCGCCGCACCTGCTTCTGCTCGCGCGCGGGGCCCCCCCTCCGCCCACCCCTCGCCCTGCCGCCCCGCCGCTCCCGCTCTTGCTGGCTCGTTCGGCCGCCCGGCCTCTCGGTCACGCCTGGCCACCAGCTCCCCCCCTCGCCCGGCTCCGCTGCTCGCGGGCTCCCCCCCTCGCTCGCCCAACCTTGGCGCGGCGCCGCCGCCCCCACGCCGCCAGCCCGCCGCCTCTCTGCTGCTCTCCCGACTCGGCGCCCTGACGTTCTCGCTGCCTTGCCGCGCCAGCCTTGGGCGCGGCCCCGCCCTCCCGCCGCTGGGCGCCCAGCGCCCTCCCCCGCTGCCCCGCCGCTCGCTGGCGCCTCCCCGCTGCCCCCCCGCTCGGCCACTGCGGCCGTGAGGTTCTCCCAGGCTGCTGGGCGCGCGCGCGCGGCTTGCCGTGCGGGGGTTCGACGGCGAGGAGTGCCACCCGCCCGCGACGGCCGAAAGGTGTCTGTGTGTGTGGATGGGTGGATGCAGGCGAGTGGGTGTACGCGGACGAGGGGATGCAGGTCGAGTGGATGCAGCCGCGTACACACATCCGCCATGCGTGCAAGTACGCGTGCATGTGCCCGCCAGTGTACACCCTTGCTTCGTCCGCCAGTCTACGCAGATGTCCAACCTTATTGCATTTGCACTGCTTCGCCGGGTCTGCAGACATGGCCGCGCGCGCTGTCAGCTCGCGCCGATTGAGCCGACGGGGCTACGGATGCAACCAGGATCCCGTCATGACTTTGCCTCCAAACCGCCCCCGATGCGTGAGGACGCGCGCCTAAAGATCTCATTGGCAACCATGTCGCACGGGTTGTGTTCCACAGGCCGTTGCCCTGGCGTCCCTCCTCCCCTCCCTTCTCCTCCGCGTCGTTCTCCGATCGTCCGCCGCCTGCCCCAGGCTGGCCGGAGGCTGGCCGAAGCGCGCGACGCGCGCTTCAAGAGCGCATGGTCGCGCGGCGAGCAGGACGAGGCGGGGCGCGGGGGGAGTCGGGGGCAGCAGCCGGGGGCCACCCGGAGCGGCCTCGAGGCCGCAGAGGCGGGTCGCAGGGCCCCCGTCGCGGAGCAGCGCCCATATCTTTCAGCCGGGCCTGTCCCTCTACAGGGGGGGAGCTTCAAGAATATTAAAACAATGATCGGTGGACGTTTTTTGGTAATCTTGGCAAAGATTGTTACATTGTTTTGTTTACCATTCTGAACTGTTCGTCCAAAATCCGCCTGTAGGGGGACATGCCCGACCTAACCATATCTCCCACGCGCCCAGAGCACAGCATGTACAGTCGGACCGAGGTATAATGTCGTGATCGATCCGGGGAGGGTGCCCTCATGTTTTTTCGCGCTTGCTGTATGTTCTTATGAACCCTCGGGAGGGTGCCGCTGGATGTTCCGTGCGCTTGGCCCGATGGAAGGCCTCAGGCTCCAGAGGGGTGTTTTTTGTGTTCCAGATCCGACCGCCCGAGCAGGGGATCGACTACCGAATTGGCTTACCGCGATATTTGCTGTTGTGGAATCCTTGAAAGAATGCTACGTGTTTGTTCTGTAGATTCGACGAGGGAATCACTTTTTGGGGGAAATCAACTCGGTTGTCGATCCCCTACTCGAGCCGCAGGGAGGGGTCGTTCGCAGTTCTCGGCGTCTGGCGGGGGGGGCCTCAGCTGGGGTTAAGTCGGGCATGTCCCTCTACAGGAGGAGTATTCGAGAATGACGATTGTTCGATTCTTTATTCTGCGATTGTTGCATATTGTGAAGACCTGACGGCCTGTGCCGCCGACCCAGAAGGACGACGACGACCACGACCACGACAACGACCAAGACGACAAAACGACAACGGCGAGCTGATGACCCTGCCGCAAGCTCGGGACATGGGGCGGGCGGTGGAGGAAGGAGGTGGAGGAGGAGGACGAGGAGTAAGAGGAGGAAAAGGACGAGGAAAAGGAAACGAACCATAATGATAAGAAGAAGCATACTAAGAAGACGAACGTGAAAAATATAATAAGCAGAAGAAGGAGAAGGAGGAGGAGGAGGCGGAGGAAGCGGAGGAGGAGGAGGAGGAGGAAGATAAGGAGGAGGAGGCGAAGAGACAAGTTCAAGCAAGGGGGAGAACACAGCACCATTTCTTTCTCTCTCCCTCTCTCTCTCTCGCGTCTTCCTTTTTCACGTCGGTCTTGAGCTGCGTTGACTAGTGTGTCTTGCTCGAGTGAGTTCTTCACGCGGTGCGAGAAGGAGGAGGAGGAGGAGAAAGAGGAGGAGGAGAGCCGTGTGTCTTCTCGCGGGCGGGCGTCTGGGAGGCGACGGGGCTGGGGCCGCGGCCGGGGCCGTGGCCAGGGCCGGCCCGTGACCGGGGCCGGAGCTGGGGCCGACCGAGAGCCCGTGATCTTCAATTAATCGAGGAATTACAACAAGATCCTTTCGTCAATTCTGAACGAGATAACTGGCGTTCCCTACGTCGCTAAAAAGTTAAAACGGGTATAACCGACTTTGCTCTTCATCAGCCCCAATTTAGAAATATCGAACTTAGCGTGCTCAAACTCAGTTATCCGTACTACGTCTACGCACATATATTATTACTAAAATCAGAAGCTTGGCCACCCCAATGGGGTCGGCGGACTACCCGATGGTGTAAGCGAGGGACTCTTGACAGCAGGGTGTATTGCTCAACCTGGCTTGCACGTTGCACCCGCCTCTGTCAGCTCTGGGAGTATTTGCGATTGCTTGTGCGTCCGTATTCACGTGGGCCCAAGCCTTTAGGATTTATGGTTAAAGATCCAAGCGCCCGTGCTGACATGGGTGTTCGTCCATTGACGCACGTCGTGTTGGCCTGCGCTCAAGTTGGTCGAACTGAAGAAGCCTGGCTGGGAGTGGCACGGCAGTGACTACACGCGGCCGAGTAGGAGCCACAGTGCGGACGAGTTTTCGCTCACTACGTACAAGAAGCCGCTGGTTGCGCTCCTGAAGGTGGGCCCCTCGGGGTTCCCCACGCACAAGTTCCATTGTCAGCCCGAAGAAGACTAAAGGGCGAGCAACTGATTCGTCAAACGCAGCAGAGGGGTTGCGAGTGATGTGCAAGGACGTCTACAACATGAAGCGGAGCGGCGTGCACTGCCCAGAGATGAACGAGCTCGTCGACCTGATCGTCTTGCGCGACATGCTTGCCCAGCCAGCGACGCCGTGCCCATGCGGCAAGGCAGCTCCACCAGCTCCGCCAAGCGAGCCGCCCGCGCCAGACTTCGCGGAGTTCTCATACGTGGGTTCCGAGTTGGAGGAGATGGAGATCTCCGACAGCGACGACGATGACGACGTCGATGTCCTCAAGGTCGCTCGCCGTTGCCCCAACTGTTTAGCAAGGGTGCCCAGCGCAGCGATTGAAGGCAGCGTCGCGAGACAGAGATCTCGGAGCCCATCTCCCAGAAACCAACACGTCGGCTCCGCGGCAAGCAGTCGCTCATGGTTTAGGCGGCTCCTCCGAAAACAGCAGAAGAAGTGAGTGACGCATAAGTTGTTTGCTCGCAGCGCCGCGAGGGCTGCGGAGCCGTTCAAGCAGTGGACCCTGCCGGTCTAGATGACGAAGGGGGCGCCCAAACTGCCTCGTACGAATGGCGATGCTTACTTCCAGCATGGCACCAGCAACTCCAAGGAGCTCTCCTTCGTCATAGGGCCCAGCTAAAAAACATCGCAATTACATCGAGATCCTGACAGAGCTCTCAGGCCTGATGGAGACCGACGTAATCAAAACGCCCAGTGAGGAAAATCAGTGGGCGCAGGATCGTGTGGCTTGCTACAGCAAGTAGTCCACTAGATAGTCCACTATATAGTAAGGATGCACGCGAGGCCGTGCTCGTGAAGGAGCGCGGTCGCAAATGAAGGTCGGCGAGGCTGCCCGCCCCCGAGGCTCCGAGGGGCCTGTGCCCCCCCCCCCCCCTTTGCCCCCCGCGCGCGTGCCAGGTCGGGGGAGGACGCCATCGAGGTCTGGTCCTCGGGCGGTCCGCGCCCGAACGAAGGCCCCTCGGCCCTCGGCCCCTCCTCCCGCCGAAGGCCCTGGTGCCCCCCCCCCCCCTTGGCGGCCCTGGTGGGCTTCCGCCCTGCAAGAGGGCTCGGGCCTCTGGGTGTCCGCGTCGGGGTTTGTCCTAGGCCTCGCGTGATGCTGTCCTCCCTGCCGCCCCCTCCCCCCGTTCAAGGCCCTGTCGGGCCTCGCGGGGGCATCCAGTGCGCATGGCTGGGGCCACCGTTGCATTATGCTTGCGCCGCGGCGCTAGGGTCCGGCCGTCGGCCTCTCGGTCGCGGCTGTGGGGCCACTGCGAGGGTCTTGCATCCAGCACGGATGCCACCAACCTCATGTCCCTTAAGGTGGGCAAGGACTCCCTGACGGGGGGGTGGCGGGGGGACCCCCGTCCACTCCTCTCCTCTGACGATGCCTGCTTTCGGCTTCGTCTGAGATAAATAACCTTTTGGCGATTTTCCTCACAGTCGTGTTGCGCGCGCTCGTCCTTTTCCTGCTCTATGCCTTTTTCATGCCACTGCTCTGCGCACTCGTCCTCTGTTTGGTCGCGCCTCCCCTTTTGCTCCTCCTCCTCCTCCTTCTCCTCCTCCTCCTCTTCCTCCTCGTCGTCGTCCTCCTCCTCCTCCTCCTCCTCCTCCTCCTCCTCCTCCTCCTCCTCCTTCTCCTCCTCCTCCTCCTCCTCCTCCTCCTCCTCCTCCTCCTCCTCCTCCTCCTCCTCCCCCTCCCCCTCCCCCTCCTCTGGGCGAGGCCCCGCCAAGCGTGGGCGGCCGCAGGCCGCCGGCCAGAGAGCACCCGAGGGCCGAGCGGCGCCCGGCGGAGCGCGGCGCCTGCCCGCCCATAGGGTTCCGACCTGCGAGCACTGCAGCTCGAGGCCGAGGCGCGGGCCGAGGAGGAGGAGGAGGAGAAGGAGGAGGGGAGGGAGGAGGGGAGAGGAGGGAGGTAGGGAGTGAGGAGGGGAGGAGGAGGGAGGAGGAGATAGGAGGGGGAGGAAGAGGATGAGGGGAGAGGAGAGGAGGAGGAGGAGTGAGGAGAGAGGAGGAGGTGGAGGAGGAGAGGAGAGGTGGAGGAGGGAGGAGGAGGAGAAGGGAGGAGGAGAGGAGGAGGAGGAGGAGGAGGAGGAGGAGGGAGGAGGAGGAGGAGGAGGAGGAGGAGAGGGAGGAAGGAGAGGAAGGAGGACGGAGGAGAAGGAGGAGGAGGGAGGAGGGAGGAGGGAGCGAGTGAGAAGGAGGGAAAGGAGGAGGAGGTGTTGGCTTGTTACGTACCGCCTGGGAGAACAGGCGCGCGCCAGGCAGTGGCACGGCCTTAGGCAAAGCGCGAGAACTTGCACCGCAACGGTTTGGCTCAAGTATTGTTTCCATCCGGGGGGAGAAACGCCTAACAGATGTTCAGGAGGAAGAGGAGGAGGAGGAGGAGGAGGAGGAGGAGGAGGAGGAGGACGAGGATGAAGAGGTAGGAGGAGGAGGAGAAGGAGGAGGAGGAAGAGGAGGAAGCGCAGGAGGGGGGGAAGGAGGAGGCTCTAGAGCCTCTGGTGCTAGAGGAGAATGGAGAGGGAGGAGGGGGAGAGGGAGGAGGGGGAGGGGAAAGCACTCCTATCAGGTTACAATGATGTCGGGGCCCGTGGTTCGCCCCACGGCTTCAAACGCGCGCGATTAATGTGAGCAAGCGGGTTAAGCATTATCACCACCACCTTCCCCCCTGGGCTTTCCAAATAATCGAGCCAGGCAGACAAATTAAATCCAGCCGCAAGACATGAGTTTTCAATCGTCTGCCCCCCTGGCAACTGTTCTGGCGTCGCCGTCGTCGTCGTCGTCGTCGGCTACAGCGGCCCTGCGCAGGACCCCTCCCCATAGGGCATCCGCTCCACAGAGCGCAGTCGTCGTCGTCGTCGCCGTCGTCGTCGCCGTTGTCGTCGTTGTCGTCGTCCGTCGTCCTCGTCCTCGTCTTCATCCTCGGTCATCCTTGTCCTTATCGTCGTCGTCATCGACGTCGACGTCGACGTCAACGTCGTCAGCGACTACAGCTGGCCTGCGCAGCACCACGCCCACCATTCCCCCCCCCCTCCCATAGGGCACCCGCAGTGCGTCGTCATCGTCGCCGTCGTCGTCCTTCGTCGTTCTCGTCCTTCGTCCTCGTTCTCATCTTCGTCCTCGTCGTCGCCGTCGTCATCGGCATTGTCGCTGTCGTCGTCGTCTCGACTACAGCGGACCCGCCCAGCCCACATGGCAACCGCACAGCGTCGTCGTCCTGGTCCTCGTCCCCGTCCTCATCCTCATCGTCGTCGTCGTTGTCGTTGCCGTCGTCGTCCAGTCCGACGTCGTCGTCCTCGCCTTCGTCCTCATACTCGTTCTCGTCGTTCGTCGTTGTCGCAGTCATCGTCGTCGCCGTCGTCCGTCGTCGGCGTCGGCGTCCGTCGTCCTCAGCCTCAGCCTCATCCTCGTCGTCGCCGTCGTCGTCGATGACAGCGGGCCTACGCAGCATCCCTCCCCCCACCATAGAGCATCCGCAATGAGTCGTTGTCGTCGTCGTCCTTCGTCGTCCTCGTCCTCATCCTCGTTGTCGTCATCGCCCTCTTCGGCGTGGTCCTTCTGGTCGGCGCAGTCGTCCGTCGTCCTCGTCGTCGTTCTCGTCGTCGTCGTCGCCGTCGTCGTCGTAGCCGTCGTTGGCCACAGACGGCCTACGCAGCGCCACCCGTAGGGCATTCGCATTGCGTCGTCGTCGGCCTCGTTGTTGTCGCCGTCGTCGTTCGTCGTCCATCGTCCTCGTCTTCGTGTTCGTCCTCTTCCTCCGCCGCCAGACATGATTCTGTTTTCGTCTGCCCCCCAGCATGTTCTGCCCTCGTCATCGTCGTCGTCGTTGTCGTCGTCTTCTTCGTCCTTCTTGTGGTTGGCGGTGTCGTCCTCGCGGGACACCGTGGCGCTTGGGACGAGGAGGAGGAGGAGGAGGAGGAGGAGGAGGATCGGCCCGCCGAGGGGGCGCGGTCGTGGCCAAGACACGTCGCGGCCTTTGCGACCGAGCCTCTTACATCAGGCGTGCACGCTTGACTTTGCAGGCTTTGAGTGGCTTACTGGGGTCCCCGGAGGGCCAAGACTTGGCCGAAACATTCGGGGGCTGACAATTGGCCAACCTGCGGAGGGCCTCCCTACCACTGTCGGTGCCCACACCACCTGGACAAAGGACGGGTAGTTGGTTGAGCTTGCCACTTCCTGTGCTCGTGCAATGCCGAGCCTCGCACACTTCGCACACCAAAGTTGACCATTCATGGGATGCACCGAATGGGTCGGGTGTATCGTCTTACCTCCAACTGTAAGAGAAGTGTATGCTGAGGGCGGAATCGGCAGGGGCACATTATAGCATGAAACAAAAGCTCTACCCTTGCATTGATATTTCTGCATCCAACATTGTACGGCCTCTCGTGTCGGGCCAAGCTTACAGTGGAAACAGAACCAGCGTTTTTTGTCCTTCGGGTGCTGCATCATGCAGTGGCCCGTGGCACGCTCGAGCTCCTGCCGAAGCGCAATTATATTCACGGGCCTCTTGAGGATCCTCGAATTCGCAACCCAAAGACGCAGGAGGAGGAGGAAGAGGAGGAGGAGGAACAAAAGGATGGGGAGGAGCAGGAGGGGCAGGAGGAGGAAAAGGAGGAGGAGGGGGTGGAAACGGTGGAGGAGGAGGAGGATAATGAGGAGGAAGAGTAGGAGGAGGAGGAGGAGGAGGAGGAGGAGGAGGAGGAGGAGGAGGAGGAGGAGGAGGAGGAGGGGGAGTGGGAGGGGGAGGAGGAAGAGGAGGACGTCAAAACATCTCTTGCTTCAATGGTCTGGTTTGCAAGCTTCTGCGACCTCGAGGGCCCCCCCCCAGCCCCCGAGACAGCCCGCTATTGTCAGCCCTCCGTCGGCCTCTTCTCGCCCTCCCTTATTGTGGAGGCAACCAGGCCGGCCAAATGATGTTGTAATCGTCCGCCCCAGAATGTTATACAAGTAGTCTGCTCCCATGAACTCCGCACAGCACTTGTCTCCCTGAGATGGCCGCGGCTGCAATCGCAGCAGCGATATCGAACCCAGGCCCTGCGGACCCATGCTTTGATGTGACATTACCCGAGGTCCGAGACAGCTGGTACAACCTGAGCACGAAACGATTTGCGGAACGGTGCAACGCCGGTAACGGGAATGGGAATTTCTGATACGTTACCACCGTCCTCAAAGCCAACCACGACTGCATGCTGCTAGCCTACTTTTCGAGCGCAGCGCCTGAGTGGGAACCAGGACGGCTGACGAGGATGAGTCGTTCACGGTGCTACAGATGAGCTGCAAGAGAAAGGCGCTTTTTGTTATGATTATATCGGTGATCAACCACAATGTATTATGAAGGACAGTTCAACAACTTGAATGAGCACGTTCATATTGAGCTCCGGCGTCGCCGGAACGCTTCGGAGGTAGTTACCAATATCTTCGAAGCTATACAGTCTACTGGGCGCACGAAGATCTGAGGAGGTGGAAACAAACCCGTGAGCGAGCACAAGGCCGTTCAACGGTTAACGATGACCTCCAGTGACCGTACCAACTGCAGGGAGTGGGGCGAGAAGTTGCATAACGCGTTCTCCCACATGCAGCCTGGTTATTGAGAATCCCTGGAACTTCTGGGGAACAAGTTTGAAACCTTGGACGGGGCATTACCCGATGAAGAAGAGGATGATTTGATACAACATATGAACGGAAGGTCCGCCCTGAGCGAGCCCATGAAAACGCCATCCACCAAGACAAGAGAAGACGACGCTAAAGGAAACCGCGAGCTCGACCATGACGAGTACGCGAAATTGAATGGGGATCTTTGGTCCTGGTTGGATGCCAATTTGGAAGGGACGGAACCACGGGGAAATCTCAAGGGTTTCCACGAGAGAGAGAGAGAGAGCGGAATGGCGTACCAGAAAATATATGATTGGTTCTCGGCCGTTGCTGGGGTCGCACGGTCGCGCAACATAAACCCGGCCACGAACCCAGAAATACCCAAGAAGGTGAACGACGTTGCGACGCAGCTGAATGAGTTGAGTGCTTTTGTAGGGCCAGGTATTGGAGTGCATGCTCGTTACCTTTGCCGGTCAGATCACGGCACTGAGGATCTCCGTGGCCCGAGCAGGCGGTTAGTTTGACGGCTGGCAGCAGGACCTGTTTCAAGACGCCAGAGTCGCTAAACACTGCCACCAACCAGAAACTCTCTCCACTGAGCGCGAGGATTTGGCCAGCAAGCAAAGGCTCGACGCCGACGCGAAGAACAACGTCTCCATGGAGATTGGCCACGTTTAATTGGGAGCGGGGCGCGAGCGCGAACGAAGCCGGCTGCCACGACGAAGGTGGACACAGGTGGACTTGAAATGGTGGAGACATGAGAGTGCGCGCGGCGTCTTGAACGGAGTAAGCAAGGAAACGAATTAAAAGCGAAACAGCCTCAATGTCAATCTCGAGTCCAGAGTCCAAAGTGCGCCGTCTTCAGCAAGCTACGAACCTTGAGTTCGAAACGACTTGGGCTGGAAACCACGAGGGAACGGCTCGACTATGGAGTTAAACGCATCAATTACGCGTTGGAGCAATGTGAGGCTCAGGGGAAGCATGGGTTCTATGTTGTCTTCGGGCTTCCTGCGGGTGCCCTAATTTTTGCCACCGCGTCGCCAATGCAGAGCATGTACAAGCGCGACGACGCCCAGGCGCGCGATGGCAATCTGCGCTGTTATAACTGTAAGCAGGCGTTAAACTAAACGGAAGGACGCGCCGAGAAACCCGCGCTGCCCATGTCGAGTAGTTCCCACATCCGAAGTGCACTAAGTACACATTGTCTAGGACAGCACAGACATGGCGAGTCATCTGGAGGAGGCAGAACGCGGAGGCCAGTGGTCTAACC